ATTGTGGGAAGTTGTAAATCACGGTGACTCAATGGTTCAGCAGACAGGACCAAATGCCGGTGCGAACAAGGAATCTGCCCACTTTGGAAATAATTCCCGCACTGCCGCCGCCGAGGTTCAAACCTTGGTCTCTTCTCCCAAATACTGCCCACTAAACCATTGAGCTAAGCCCGTGCGAGTTAAATAGGTAATTCTAAGTTTACAAATGCAAGATAATATAGTAAAGATTGATTATAATTGTCAATAAAATAATTGTATAGGTATGATTGAAACCAAATACGCGACATAAGGGAGAACAAATAAAAATTAGGGCATAAAATATTAAATATATACTAATATTGTTTGAGGAGATTTGGACATTAGGATTTGTGGTTAAGTTCTATTAAGACTTTAATATTAGAATTAGATTAATGGTGTAATTATAAATCTATATTAGACGTTAATATTAGAATTAGACTAACGGTGAATTAACGGTATTTAACGAAAAAGTTAAATGGATAATCATATAATTAAGGATAAATTAGAAAAAACTTTTAAAAAAATTAAAACCTGAACAATTTGAATCATTCATTTGATTTAATAATTTGGCGGTCATTTTTTCTACCCAATGTTAATAATTAAATAAATTCGTTGGTCAAATCCGCTAACTGCTGATTGTCAAACAAGGACATTGCAAGGTAGTTCTCACTTCAATTTGTTGTGTGATTTGAATACTCTCTTTGTCACAAAATCTCTCAAGTAGTTAATATGGTTGGCTTTATTAATTATATATATTTTTTAATTTTTTCATGGTATTAATAAAATACTTGGTAAATAAATATATAGCATTATTTTGTATTATAAATTTGATATTTAATTAGAAAAATAGTGCACAAAAAAAGATAATAGACAATGTAGTGAATATAATCAATTGATGAATTTGAATGTAAAAATTTTTACATTTGAGAAAAATAAAGACAATATAACTAATGAAAATATTTCTCTTAATTAATTTATTGATAATGAATAATTTTTTTTTACTGAATTAAGACATTGTAAGGACAATATAGCGAATATAATCAATTAATAAATTTGAATATAAAGAATTTTTATATTGTAAAAAAATAAAGACAATATAACTAATACAATTATTTCTCTTATTTAATTTATTGATAATGAATAATTTTTTTTTTTGAATAAAGGCATTGTGGACACATAATTCTAAATTAAAGAAATGCATATCTATAATTTTTTGTTGTAGCTACTAAATTATTATTTATATAATTTAATAAGAGTAAAATAGAGTACTAATTATGACAACTTTGATTGGGATGAGGTTTGAACCTAAGACCTTTTTTTTTATTAAAATTAATGAGTAAGTTAACGGTGAACTAACGGCAATTCTTAAAATTTTAACGGAATTAGTAACGGTGTGTGGGTATTTTAGGAAATTTTAGTGTAAAATTTAAATCTTATCAATCTTTTAATGAATCTGAGCCATTCATTTGATTAAAATCTGTGACCGCCATTTTTTCTACCCATTATAGGCCTAACTCTCTTGGGCTCTTATTAGTATAGTAGATATATATATATATATATATATATATATATATATATATATATATATATATATATATATATATATATATATATATATATATATTTATATATATATAATCGCACTCACATGCGAATGCTTCGCCCAGGCGTGAAATAGGAATGAATTCTGTCTGTCCACGTGTCCAGATCTAATGGATGAGAAACACTGGGTTTTATTTAAAAAAAAAAAAAAGTGCGGTAGCATTTTCGTAAATAATTGAACATCGAAGTGCAAGTAAAATGTATTACAAGTGCATGTAAAATGTATTATAGGTGTAAGTAAAAATTTATACTGAGCATCAATACGAAGTGCACCTGTAGTTATAAGTAGTTGCACCCATAGTTCTAAGTAGTTGCACATATAGTTATAAGTAGTTGCACCAAGGTGCATGAATGTTTGCGGGTGGTTTTCAGGGGTATTACTACCCGCTGAACTCAGATCAATGAATGTTAACAAGGTAAAATTACATGCACTTATAGGTGAAAGTAGGTGCACTAATAGTTATAAATAGTTGCACCTATAGTTATAAGTAGGTGCACCCAGGTGCATGAATGTTTGCGGGAAGTGAATGTTAACAAGGCAAAATTACATGCACTTATAGGTGAAAGTAGGTGCACTTGTAAGTGATTTTACTTGCACTTCGATGTTCAATTATTTACGAAAATGCCACCGCATTTTTTTTATCTATTAGTTATGGACACGTGTCACGCGCGGATTCGTTCGCATATTCCTTCCTGGACACTTATTCGTACCTGAGTGCATCCCTATATATATATATATATATAGTAGCTTTAAAATGACCTCATATCACACTATCAGTGAAGATCTCAAGTGAAGAGTGAAGTAGTTGTGGGTAGCTACATGGAGGAGGGGAGATTTATAAGAGAAACTATAGTTAAGGGTCAAATGTTTTTTTTTTTTTTTTTTTTTTTTTTTAATACGGATCAAATGCTTAGTAGGATAATAATAATAAAAAGAATTAAAATTAAAATATACATATTACATCCTAATAAGCACAAAATTGTTGGTAACCTGCTAAAAATGCTAATTGTACTTTTTTTCCAAGTTCATGGATCAATTTGGAGCTTATTCGAGTTCGATGGCTTAATTGTTATCCCCAAATAGTTCAATAGCCTATTTGTACGTTTTTCCCTAAACTATTTAATACTTTAATAGTTAATAATAAAATATTAAATATTAACCTAAAAAAAATCTAGAGTTTTAACAATTTAGGGTTATTTCGATCAAAACGTTGTCGTTTTGAGTGACATCATCCATTTAATAAAGAATGAAACAATAGCTAATCGGCCGACTAGGTGGCCAAGTTGGTGCCTAGGAGGTCTATTAATCGGCACCTAGGACCTAGACCACCGATTATGGTACGCTAGGTTGCCGACCAACGTCTAGCGCACAGAAGCCGATTAATCGGTGTCTAAGCGGAATTTTTGCATGCAACACTGCCTTTTGAAGAAGGAATTGAGATTGGTCCTATACGTAGAAGGGTTTGTTTGATCCAAAATGTCTTTTAGATGGTTTCTAAACCACTTTTAAAGAGGGATTACATCCAATTCTATACGTGAGAGGGTCAATTTTGTCCTGAAGCGCTAGCACTTGCGGGTAGTTCTCAGGTAATTTTTGGACAACTTTTGGACAGATTCATAATTTTTTAACTTTCCTTTTTAGTTTTCAGTTTTATTTTTGTTCCATATTGTGTAATTCTATTTGTTAAATACTAAAACAATGACAAAAAAACATTAATATTAAAACTGTAGCAATGATCAAATTAAAGTGGGAATCAGAATATTCTGGGAGGAAAGCAGATTAAAGCAAGAAAATGCAAACCTGTACTTGTTGGGTATGTTTTTTTATCATGATAGTAGTTATGCTATCTCTGCAATCTAATTCCTTAACCCCGTTCGTTGAAGTTGGCCCACAGAAAATCATCACTTGTGAGAATCAAACCTGAGTTATCCCAAAATTTTCCTATACAAAGAAAGTTTATTTGCCACTTGAGCTACCAACAACTTGTGGATAGTTCTCGTGTAACTTCCAGGCAACTTTTAGGCATATTCAAAATTTTGTTTAACTTTATTTTTTAATTTTCAGTTTTCTTTTTGTTCCATATTTGTAATTCATTTTTTTTTTAATACTAATACTAATACTAAAACAATGACAAAAAAAAAATTAATTAATATTCGAAAGTTGAGACTTTGAATTGAATATTTGAACATTGAAATAAATGTAATAATAAACTATTAAATAATTGAAATTGTGAAATTGTAAATTAAAATATATATATTGGATTGAAAATGTATTTAAAAATTGCTCTTACTTTTTTAGAAAAAGTTAAGAAGGCTACCGATCTTCAATAGAACAGAAGAATGATTACGAATGACAATTATTTAATGTATGAATTTTTAATCAAAAAATAATATAATTTCTTTAACTTATATGCCACGTTAATTAACGATAATCCTCAGTTTTTTTTTTAGTAAATCGATTTGTTTCCGCGATGTAGTGGGAAGTTTGAAGAATCAGTGGCCAAGATGAATAGATTTACAATATATAATATCGCCACAAATACTTCATTCTTTATGCTAGTGTGCTTATGAAATCATTTTAAAACTACTATATATACATCTACCAAATTAATTCAACTCTCACTTGATCTTTTTCACTTTTCACTATCTATCTAGCTCAGCTCAAATCTATGTATAGTCCCTTTTTAAACATAATTTGCAATCAAGATTGCAATGGCTAGTGGAGCTGTTTCTTCCTATATGGTGCATGCAAATTCCTTCGCCGAAAATTTGTTCCCATCTGTGTGTTTAATTTGCACTTTACTTTTTCGATTTCAATTATTTAATAATTTATTATTTCATTTATTTTTACGTTTAGATTTTGAAAATTAAAATATTCTATCCATTAAAAGTCTCAACTTTCTAATATTAAATTTTTTCATTGTTTTCGTATTAAAAACAAAAAACAAAAAGAATTATATAATATGGAACAAAAAGAAAATTGAAAATGTAAATGGAAAGTTGAAAAATAATTCTAAATCTGCCCGGAATTGAAATTGCTCACAAATTGCACGCAAAGTAGCTTGGTTCTAAAATCCTTTAAAGAAGATTAAGGATCAAACCGATTCTCCCTCGTGTAGGACCAATCTCAATTACTTTTTCGAAATGCCTACCTAAACCCCCCCTCCCCCCCCCCCCCCCCTCTTCCGACATTGCTACCCACAAATACTTCACTCTTCACGGCTAGCGCGCTTTGAAATCGTTTTAATTTAAAACTACTATATACACACCTACCAAATTAATTTGATTCTCACTTTTATCTCTTTCACTTTTCACTACCTACCTAGCTCAAAAAACTATATATAGTCTCTTTCTAAACATAATTTGCAACCAAGATTGCAATGGCTAGTGGTGTCAGTTCTCCGTGTGGCGCATGCAAGTTCCTCCGTTGGAGGTGTGTCCCCGAGTGCGTGTTCGCATCATATTTCTGCTTCGACCACGGCTCGACCATTTTCGCCACCGTTCACAAGGTTTTCGACACAAGCAACGTCTCGAAGTTGTTGCTGCAGCTTCCGGTCCACCAGCGGTTCGCCGCCATCTTTTCCATCACTTACGAAACTCAAGCAAGAATGAAGACCCCATCTATGGCTGCGTCTCCCACATCATTGCTCTGCAACAACAGGTACCATGGCACCGTTGATCAGATCATTAATGACCACCGGAAGAAGAAAGTTTTAACAACAGATTTTTTTTTTCTTTTACAGGTCTTGAACCTGGGAGCGGAAGTGATGGAAGCAAGAGCTCTGCATGCGCAGTACTTGCTAATTCAATGAACGCCGGAACTCCGATGGTGGGAGGGCCGCCAGTGCCGTTTCCGGCCACTGATCAAAACGCGACAAACCCCTATTATTCCGTTGATCATTTCAACGATGGAAGGTTTTGGCCACCGGAGATGTATACCGGTGAGGAAGTGGTTTTGTTTCCGGCTGAAAATTGAAAATATAAAAGGAAAGTTGTAAAAATTTCAAAATCTGCCCGAAAGTTGCTCGAAAATTGCCTGATAACTGCCCGCAAGTAGTTTGGGACCAAATCAACCCTGTTACTTATAATATCGGATGTAATTCCCTTTAAAAGTAGTTCAAAAAGCCTTTAAAGGAGATTTGGGATCAAACCGACCCTCCCACCTTTAGTTTTTAGTTCGCTTTTCATCCAAGTATGCTAAACACGGTCTGAGATAGCGTTGACATCATCTGAACCGTATATTTATTCTATTTAATAATCATAAAACTTTTAAAATAAAACTGATGGCAGAGTGCATAATTGATTATAATTAAAACCAAGCTACTTAGTGGGCAATTCGCAGGCAATTTTTGAGCAATTTCCGGGTAGATTTAGAATTATTTTTCAATTTTCCTTTTACATTTTTAATTTTCTTTTTGTTCCATATTATATAATAATTCATTTTGTTTTCTTTTTTAATACTAAAACAATCAAAAAAATTATTATGAGAAAGATGAGACTTTAATTGGATAGAATATTTTAATTTTCAAATTCTAGACGTAGAAATAAATGAAATAATAAACTATTAAATAATTGAAATTGGGAAAGTAAAGTGCAAATTAAACACACAGTCGAGAACGAACCTTCGGGGGAGGAATTTGTGTGCACCATAGGAAGAAACAACACCACTAGCCATTGCAATCTTGATTGCAAATTATGTTTAGAAAGGGACTTTAAATAGGTGATGGATTTAATTCACCCGGGGTAGTCCGAATTATTAAACCCGGATAAGAATACGTATGAAATAAATAATATAACGCAGAGATATCGTAAGGCCGCGGGGATCGTGGGTCGCAGGGACCGTATATTGTATTAATTGTCGCTAATAAGCTATTACAAGACTTGATTAGGACAATAATGCTAGAAGATAGTAATCCAAGAATATGTTGTGTTGTGTCAGATAATAAACAGGGGTCCTTTGTTAGGACAAGGAGGGAGCTTTTTATACCAGCTCAACCCCCAACCGCACCCCTAGAACCGGGGGTGGTTAGATCGGCCCGCTTTGACCGCGTCCCCTCCGGGACCGGGTCCAAAGCGGGGCAACTCGGCATGGCCGAGCCGGGCATGTGCTGAGCTCGGGCTAGCCGAGTCCTCCATGAACCGGCTCGGCCCATGGCCGAGTTGCTTTGGGCCAACCCGGCCACGGCCCAAGGTGTTGGGCCGAGGCACCTCGGGTCCGTCTCTCCGGGTCGGTTCGTTCCGGGTCCAATATATCCATCACGAGTCCCCCACTCTCTTCGTTGTAATAAGTCGACAACGATAGAGAGTAGACACATTGCGAGCCGACTCCCACGCGATTGCCCCGAGCTGATAATTAGCCGACCTCCCGTGACCGAGCTCACCATGACCGAGGCACCTTGGGTCGAGCACGGGGTCCCACCACTATGCCCTGGGTCTATTCCACACTTCCTTGTTCCGCTTTCCCGAGTCGGTTTGCTCCAATCGTAATATATCCATCATGAGCGAGACTTCTTCTCTTCCGCATTCCTCTTTGGCGACTTTGGTGTGATTCCATCGCAATCGGGACTTCTTCTCTTCCGCAAGAACACTAACAAGTCTTGGGCTCCCTGGCATCGTGTATGAGACTTTGATTTCTGAGTTCACTTTTGGGCGAGTTCATGAGGTAGTCGTCCTCCTCTCGGGTGAGCTCATGAGGTAGCCCCTCTTGGGCCGAGGTGCCTTGTGTCGAGGCGTCTTGGGCCAAGGTTCGTTAATGAGGGAGAGTAAACACGAGTCGCACTCCATGTGTCCGAGCCTCACACGACCGACCCCAACGTGGTCGACCCCAAAGTGACCGACCCCAACTTGACCGATCCCAACGTGGCCGACCCCAACGTGACCGACCCCAACGTGACCGACCCCAACGTGGCCGACCCCAACGTGACCGACCCCAACGTGGCCGACCCCAACGTGGCCGACCCCAACATGGCCGACCCCAACCTCAAGGATTAGACTTGATAGAGGCTTGATTAGCGTCATCCCTTCTTTATCATATGGGTTCCATCTTCCGCTCCACCACTTTGTACTTTTCCTAACATGCCTCTCCCCCCGGAGGTAGGCACATTTGTGTCTCTCCTTCGGGAGGTGGGCACATTTTATGTCTCCCCTCCAGGAGGTGGGCACATTTTATGACTCCCCTCCGGGAGGTGGGCATATTTTATGTCTCCCCCCGGGAGGTGGGCATATCTTATGGCTCCCCTCTGGGAGGTGGGCATATCTTATGGCCCCCCTCCGGGAGGTGTGTCCTTTTGTACCTTGATTCGATAAGCATGCTTCCCCTCCCGGCGGTGGGCACATTTTATGTCTCCCCTCCGGGAGGTACTTCCTTTTGTCTTTGCTTTGTTAAACATGTTCTCCCTCCCGGAGGTGGGCACCTTTTATGTCTCCCCTCCGGGAGATACTTCCTTTTGTCTTTGCTTCGTTAAACATGCTTCCCCTCCCAGAGGTGGGCACATTTTATGTTTCCCCTCTGGGAGGTGGGCACATTGTATTGACTTGGCGTTTTGAATGGACAATCAGCTCTCCCTTATTAATTAATTTTTTTTAGCACAATGCCTTATGTTAACCGTTTGAGCCTAGTCCCCATGGACTAAGCCGCCGGGCACCTCCGCCGGGGTTGGTAAGCGAGGTCGGACCTCGTGCCCCCTTAGGGTACGTTAGCCGCTTGAGCCTAGTCCTACCGGACTAAGTCATCGGGCTCTTCCGTCGGGTGAAAGAGATGAAGTGAGAGTTAAATTAATTTGGTAGGTGTATATATAGTAGTTTTAAAATGATTTCATTGCACACTAGCAATAAAGAGTGATATATATTGTCGCCTTCAGATCAGCTTCCTGAAATGGCGCCGGCCCTCTCACCGGCGTTCATTGAATTCAGCAAGTACTGTGCCTGCAGATCACTCGCTTCCATCACTTCCGCTCGCAGGTTCAAGAGCTGTAAAAAGAAAAAAAAAAATCCGTTGGTCCTACTCCTAAACGTGTGATGGTCGGTTTGATCCCAAATCTCCTTTAAACAATTTTAGAACCAAGCTACATAGCGGGCAGTTCGCGGGCAATTTTCGAGCAATATCATAAGTGACAGGGCCGATTTGGTCCCAAGCTACTAGCGGGTAGTTATCGGCCAACTATTTAATTATTTTTCAGTACGCTTTTCATCCAACTAACTATCCCAAACACGGTCATAAATAGCATTGACATCATCTGAACCATATATTTATTCCATTTAATAATCATAAAAATCTTTAAAATAGAATTGATAACAGATTGCGTAAATTAATATCATAAATGCGTCGTTTTATATATATATATATATATATATATATATATATATATATATATATATATATATTAGTCAAACGTAACGTAAAACGTTACGAAAATCGTTATATATATATATATATATATATATATATATATATATATATATATTTATAAAACGTTTTTCGTAACGTTTTACGTTACGTTTGACTAATATATAAATATAAAATAAATATATATACGTTACGTTTGACTAATATATAAATATAAATAAATAAATAAATATATATATATATATATATATATATATATATATATATATATTTATATTTATATATTAGTCAAACGTAACGTAAAATGTTACGAATAAAATTAATGCTACCACAAATAGCGAGAATATGAGATAACTCAGATCTACGTCATAGTTATTCAAAGTATTTGTTCATAGTTAAAACGTGTATTAATGTAATTTAACCAACGTATAGATGTGGTGTTAGGGAATCGTAAAAGCGATAGTCAAACTTTCATGTTTTTAGGTGTGTTTGGCAATGAGCATAGTAGATAGCTAATAGTTGATTCCATTAGTTATTATGAGTAGCTGATAATATTAGTTGTTTATAGAAAATTGATTAGAAAATTTGTTGGAGTTTGATGTACATTGTGATCACTAGATGTTATTGATTATGTAACTTCATTTTTTTTTTTTTTTTTTTTTGTTTTCTACTTTATTATATCTAAGAGTGGACAAAGAGTTTTCAATTAAAATTCATTTTGAAGCTAAGTATGTTCTTTCAACTAGTTGTGTTTAATATATTACTCATTTATTTTCTAAAACCTAATACTGAAATTCATTCGCATAGAGTTTCGTGAAAAAAAAACTGTAAAATTTGTCCATTAATTCATTTAGGCAATTCCTAGTTAAAGAAAGTGATGCTTTATTACATAAAATTGAAATCTTTCCTCAATTATGTGTTTTATTATTTGTCTGAAATGACACAATTATTGTAATTGTTATTGATGTTAACCGCTTTCTAATATTACAATTAATTAGTTTGAAATAATATTCGGTGTATCTTGAAAGGAAAAAAATATAATTATAAATAAAAAAAATGCAATGTTGAAATTAAATTATATTGTTAAAATAAAGAGATTTAACTTAAACTATTACATAGCTTAAGTAATAGTTTAAGTACAAAAAAAGGGAAAATAATAACTAGATTATTAACATACAATCTTCGAACCATCAGGGTCGGAACAGGCCGGCTTAGAACCTAGGCTCGGTTTTAGTCATTTTCAGTGCTATAGCTTGGAGTTCACGCACGTCCGATGGCGAATCTCTCTACATGTTACTCCCTTCAGCTGGAAACGGAACCGCTTCCTCTCCGGTATACATCTCTGGTGGCCAAAACGACCCTCCATTGTTGAAATGATCAACAGAATACTGGGGGTTTGTCACGTTCTGATCAGCTACCGAAAATGGCTCCGGCGGCCCTCCCACCGTTGTAGTCGCCCATTGATTTCCGGCGTTCATTGAATTTAGCAAGTATTGTGCCTGCGCATGCAGAGCTCTCGCTTCCATCACTTCCGCTCGCAGGTTCAAGACCTGTAAAAAAAAAAAAATTCCGTTGTTAAAACTTTCGTCTTTCGGTGGGAATTTATTATCTGATCAACGACGCTATGGTAC